CCAACAGCACACTAAAGACATTTAAAGGTTTAAATATATTCTAACTCTGCTTCTTTCCTTTTTATTCTTATCCCAACAAAACCAAAACTGTACCTAGAACATGAGATGTCACCCTTATCTTTCCAAGAGTCTTTCCTGTTCCAAAATTGCTTTCATACCTTAAAAAAGTAAAGACGGAATATAAGATTACATTTTAATTTTATGAAATGAAAATTTTAACATTTCTAAATGGCAACACTTTGTAGTTTTCTGAACCTTCAAATACTTATGTCTCTTCATATAAAATACTTAACATTGAACACATATATACCTATACAATATATAAATTATAGAGATGTTATTTTGTTTATAATATAACTAGTAATTAATGCTTATGCTACCTATATGCTTCATTTATATTCAGATGATTCTTCTAGCTCTTCTGACTGTGAATTAGAGAAGTTATTTATACAATATCCAAGGATAGAAAAGATACAACCAGATTGTATCTCTAAAAACAGTTGCTTTGGGGAGTTTTGTGTACAAGATTTTCTCTGAGTGATTTTATTTTTATTTTTGCTTAACTTTTTTCATGTTTAATCACTATTGTATTACCATCATTTTAGAAAAATTTAGAGGTTGTACGTTTTAACAGCTAATTTCTTTTTTGGCTTTTTCATGCTAGTCTATAACATCTTTTCCTTTTAACTGTATGTTCATTGGTGTAGCTGCCCAAAACAATTTCTAAAAATTCTTTTAAATTTTTCAAACAATGCCTATATTTAGAAAAAAAAGAAAAGAAAAGAAAAAAATGTAGACTCTTCATTCAGGGTCTGAAACCATAAGATGTTTCATAGCTGTTTACCATTTACCTTTTGTGTGCCATGCACTATGCAGGCCCTGGGCAAGGATGGTTGCTGTTGTGGATGCTGCCCAGCTCCCTTTTCAGGACTGAGGCTCTCATTCCTCTGGCTGCTGGGATTGTTGGCTGCTGATGGTGCACAGCTGAGTCCCTCTCTTGTAATTGCCCTCAGCTGAGAAGAACCTCTTCCCCCAAGATCACTTCTGCTTTTGCAAGCAGTTTGTATCCATTGACTGGTAGATTCAGGGATGTAAAGGCCCTGTCCCCTGGTTTCAAAGAAAACTAACTCTGCAGGGCCATCCCAGGTCCCGACTAACCATGGAACCATCAGAGGCTTTTGTTGTAACTACATCGCACTTCAACTCTACTCAGGAACTTCCTGCACTCTCCCATAGGTCTCTATCTCAAAGACAATTTCCTGTAACTTCCCATGTGGAAATTTCTGTTTGAGAATCTGTGTCTTAGGAAACTCAACCTAAGACTGTGACTCCAATGTGGGGAAAGAGGTATGGGCTCACTTTGGTCAATGGATGTTGACATAAACCATTAAGTCAAGTACATTATATTCAGTGTCATAGGAGAAGCATTATACAATCTTATGGGTGTGAAAAAGGTGACTTACTTTGCTTGGAATATAGCAGAGGGAGAATTAGAAAAGGTTTTACAGGTGCAGTAGCATTCGAGCTTAACTTTGGAGAATGACTTGTTACTCTCTAGGCAAAAAAGGATGTGAAGTAGTCTGGGCTTGTAGAAGTACATAGCTTATTCCAGTTGTAGCAGAAAGCTCAATAGAGGTTGATCCAGAGCCAGCTCGTGAATTATTCTACTGGATTTGAAAGTTCTTTTGCTGGAGTGTGCTCTTCCCTCCTTCCTCCCCATTGATCACTCATGCCACCCCTACTCCACATACAAGTGTGATTTGAGTAGATACACTTAGAGACATCTTTCTTCAGCACTTTTGCTTGAAGACTTTCTTTGCTTCATTTTCTTAAAATTGTAACCTACTTTAGAAAATATGAAAACTACATATTTTCAGCTGGCTTTAAAATAACCTTCTAAAAGAAAACACAAAGATCATCTTTGGTGCTTGAAATTCTACCAATAGCAATTTCTAGAATTCCTAATGAAAATGACATAGTAACATTTACATAGTCCAGGTTTCTAACACATGAAACCTCATTTAAAATCTCAGATGAGGGGTTATCCAGTTGTTTCTAGTCTACGAGTATATCTATTAATAGCCTTTGGCCTTTGTCTGTTGTTTTTGACACTGATGTACCACAGAGTAATGAGATTGGAGAGTTAGAGTTAATCAGTGTTTTACAGGCAAGAAAACTGGGTCTAGAGATAAGGAATTGTTTATCCAACGTCGTACACAACAGGTTGACAAAGTCAGAAGGATAATTTATATATATTTTTTAATCTAGCAACGTTCCCTCTCTATGGCTACATAATGAATTCATCAGACCCCTGTGTGAATTATTGGGAGTCAGGAAATTATGAAGCAGTCCCACCTCTGCCCCTATTGAACTCCATGACCCAGGACCTACTGTATCAGTGCTCCAGGTCTGTTTTCTCACCTGTGAAATCAGGGGCTTGGACTAGAGGAACGCTCAGTGCCCTCCTCTCTGACATTGTAAGAGTCTTTATCCTTTCTAAATAGAAGATATATCTAAGGGTCCTAGTGGACCAATTAAAGGCTAAAATGATAAGAGTACAGTGAAGGGAACCAGCTAGACAAGGAGTTCTCCACCATTTGCCAGCCCAAGCTCATAGTCAGCTGCATTCTTGGAACCTTTATTTTCTGATTTTTGGGCCTTTCCCAATAGTCTCACTTTAAACATATTTTACACTGTTTTGCCTTTATAGAACAAATGTTCAGATTACCTGTCCTTTAAACAGTCATTCCATAGACCATGAAGAATTTCCTTAGAAACTGACTCAACCTTATATGTGGCTGATGGTTTTAAGTAAATGGGCTGAATCTTGCAGCCAAGCCTCAGTGCAAACAAAAAACATTTTCTGGTCAAGCATTTTCTGGTTTGTTCAACTCTATTACAGGGCTGCCTTAAAGGAAAAAAAGTTAAAACCCACAGAGGAACAAAACACAAGTCCTGAGAAGACAGTTTCCAGCCACATTAGCTCAGATCACCAGAGTAGAAAAGTAGCAGGGTCCTCATTGTCCGGACCATTGTTTTCTCCAGACTCTCATCTTAAGTTTTTCTGCTATTTTAATTTTACCACTTCAAAATAGAGTGAAAATAGGTTAATAGTTTCCATGAGTTTAGACTGTGACCAGAGGCATACTAAGCAATTTCAGAACCCGCAGCAACCGCAGCTTTGAGGAGAGGATGGTAATGGATTTACCAATACATCTTGGCATAGATTCCTGAGTCAGGGGAGTCAGGCCAGCAGTGGGCTACTAGGATGGGATGTGAACAGTTTTCCTTCATTCATTATTTTAGCACACATTCATCCTGGGCTTATGTCATTTTAGGTAGTACACTAGGTTTACTATTGGACAGAGAAATATGTTCTTAAGACATAGTCCCAGCCCCTACTGCAGTCTGGTAGAGGAAATAGATGTATGTGCAAATAATGTTAATACAGTGAACACTGTTAAGTACTGTAGGCAACGTTAAGTGCTCAGGAAAAGGAGAGAAAGAAGCAGCTTATTCCAAATGATGACATCAAGGAAAGATTCACTGTGGAGTTGCCTTCTGACCCCTACCTCAAAAGGTCAAAATGGCAAATTGCAATTCAGTATAGGCATTAGCCAATGCACAGGACTATGGAAGCTTCTCATGGTTTGGATGTGTATGAGCAGCCTGAGGCATTAGGGGAATCGGCCTAGAAAGGGAGGTGGAATGCCAGATATGGAACCAGCTCTTTTTTACATTGTGGAGCCATGTAAGTTTTTGCTAACAGGAAAATTATTTGGTCACATCTGTGGTTTGGAAAGGAAACTGGAAGTCACTTTGGGGATAGGGAAGTATTACAGAAGAAGAGAGATGCAAATAAGCAAGCCCAGCAGAGACCGCTGTTGTAGTTGAGACATTAACACACTTCTTATCTTCCCACCGGCACTTTTTGCCTAATGGCCATTTAAACTAAGGCTCTCATGGTAAGAGAGCAACTAATCTTTAATTTCCACATCTCTTCCAGTTGTCCATCTTTCTAACCAGATCCCCACCCCAGGTTTATTCTGGATTGTAAACTCAGTGAGTCAGTTCAAACATCTCAATAGGAACATAGCATATTACATGTGAAACATGGTCATTTGGTAAGACAGCATGAGATTCTAAGAAAGGATGAAAAGTTAACTAATTGTATCAGTATTTCTGAGTCCTGACTCAATAAATCATATCCTCTTTAAAGGGGATATGCATTCTTAAAACTCAGCGTACTTTTAAAGCCAGATAAATTAGCTTTCTTAATTGATTTCTCAAAACTGGAACCCCTCCCCTAGGTTCAACCTTTCCATTAAGAGTTTACAACACTAAACTTGGAGATAGCATTTAAATCAAGGCTTTAAATAACCAAAAGCCTCATGGATGTGCTGAGCTCTGATTGGGATCTGCAGCTATCATCCCAGTCTCTGTTATCAGACAGACCACTCTCTAAAATGTTTGGGTCCTTGGTGACCCCACTAGGTCTTTAATGATGGAGCACATTTTAGAAGTAATAATGAAACGTTCTTTCCATGGAGAACTGAGCAGGATGGACCAAATCCAGTGCACCATTTGCTTTTGTATATCAAGTTTCATCAAAACAGCCATTTGCTTACATACTATCTATGGCTGCCTTCACACTACAATGGTATAATTGCACTGTTGCAAGAAAGCCAGAAATATTTACTCTGTGGGCCTTTACAGAAAAGTTTGCCATCACCCCTGTCTTAGTGGAAAGGAAGAAGGGTAGGAGTCAGAAGACATGTTTTAAATTCAACATTTGCCAGCTATTTCCTGGGTGATCTGAGAAAAACCACTTGATCCATCCTATTGCATTTTCTCATCTCTCTAATAAAGATTGTTAAAGGACTGTGACAAGCACCTGAGCCAGTGTGTTCTGTGACAGTGCTTATCATGATGTAAGCTACTGCAGAAGTGGAGCATCTCTAGTTCTATCCTATCATTGGCATTTTTCTTTTCCTCTCCAGAACACCCTGGAGCAGTGCAGCGTGTGCTCCAAGCCCATCATGGAACGGATTCTCCGAGCCACCGGTAAGGCCTATCATCCTCACTGCTTTACCTGTGTGATGTGCCACCGCAGCCTGGATGGGATCCCGTTCACCGTGGACGCTGGCGGCCTCATCCACTGCATCGAGGACTTCCACAAGTAGGCAACCTACTCTCCCACCTCCAGCCTGCCAGGCTCTCACAGGCTGTTCTCACTGCCCGGCACCTGGGCCGCTTGGTCTTCTTACTCAGAGCTATGGAATCTCAGAATTTGATGGGGCCTTAAAAAGAATTGATTGACACCCCCCCCACCCCCCATGCAAGGCAGGAAGTGCTATCAGGTGGTCCATGAGGTCTTGCCAGCCTGGCCTCTGCTTCATGACTTCCCTGGGGCTGGTTCCTGGCATCCTTAGGTGGCTCTAATTGTGAGAAAGTTCACTCAGCCACAGAGTATTTGTATTGGAAAGATGCAGGATCCTGGGCTAGCCCTCCCTGGTCTAAACGTGAACAAGATGTGTGACTTTGAACAAATTGCTCAATTTCTCTGAGCTCTTTAGTTTGGTCATTAGACCAGATCCTGTTTTAAAGCTCTCCAGCTGTCACAGCCAGGATCCTCTCTCCATCCTGCCACTCTGCAGATAGAAAGTTGTGGGAGGACAGACACAGAGCGATTCAGTCCTTGCGAATGCAAGCCTCTCACATACTCAGAGGCAGCTTAATGCCATTGTCAACACATTCATACCCTCCCCTCACCTCTTCTCCCCACAGGTCTTCTCTTTCTCAGGATATTTCTAACAAAATTAGTGAATGCAGTACTGTGCGGTCCTTTGAGGAGGATTAGAAAGTAGAGCCTCAAGGTCAAGACCACTTACTCATGGGCCTGGAAAAATATTTCCCCACTTCCTCAATTCTTTTACCTGCTGGTCCTTCTTTCATGGGTTTTTTATGAAAGTTGTATGGTCCCTCTTTCATGGGTTTTTTTAATGAAAGTTGTATGGTTTTGTGTTTTGCTTATTTTTATTTGGCCACTTAGTTGGTTAATTGATTGATAACATTTTTAGGAACTATATGAAAGCGTAGATATGATGTGTAGACAATAAAGATAGAGCCCTTCTAGACTGTGTTTGTTGGGCAGTGCCTTTCCAGACAGCCTGAGGCCCTCAAAGACGTAGAGCACATATGGCCCACCAGTTTGAGTATCCATTCTAGGGCCTCCAGATGTGCATTCTTGTGGGTTAATTTTCACCGCTCTGTTGATTGTCAACAACCAAGAGGTACTTGCCACAAGCAGTTTGGGGACCTGAGGGTGATAGTTTAAAAATGAATTTCCTGACCACTTTCCACATAGCAAAGCAAGTGAAAACCTCACCAAAAGATGTGATGCTGAATGAATTAAAAAACCCCAGAGGCAGAAATTCTCCACCTGAATTAGACAAGGAAGGGCTCACTTTGAAAGGGCAGTCACAGCATAAATTGTACTTCACATTATCGATATTTTTAGCTTGTAATTACACATGAAAAAAGAAAACCTGCATCTATTTAAGGGAAATGAAAAGATACCAATGGGGAGTATGTTTCTGTCACTGCGTCTCTCCTTTCTTAGACTCATCCTAATCCAAGAAAGATTGACAGATATAATCAGAGCACACATGTTTCTGTTGCTGATAAAGAATGGTATATTACACCCTCAATTAAAACAGGAAATCAATTCTGACAAATGTAAGCTTATATCTATGCATTTATCTTCCATTTCTAGAAGTGGGGACCATAATTAGAGACTTGCGACTGGTGGCATAAATGTGTGATTCTGAATGCCCTAGAAAAGCAGCCTTGAGCAATTGGAAAGGAAAATAATCTCTAGCCCCCAACTGTCTCCCCACAACCACCGCTAATTCAGTGGCATGTTAAAACACAAATTATTTTTAAAAAATAAAGTTGTTTGAATGATTAACAAGTATTTAGGGAGAAAAGATTCTTTTTATTCCCCATTTCTTAAAGAAAAATAGGAGAACATTTTACAGAACTCTGTTTCTGAGCCTTGAAAGTACTAGAACCTAAGGCAGCTAAAAAGTCCAACCCAGGGCAGGCACTAGAGAGGGTAGTTTTAGGGGAGTACAGCCTCCTTCTGCAAACAATGTTTTGGGGGGCTTGTTCTTGGCCATTCTGAATAGGTCTTCCTTTGTAAGCTTTTAGGAAATTATTTTAATTCAATTCAACCTCATCTTCGAAGAGGTTTCTGTGTACCCATTACTGTACTAAGTGCTAAAGGAGAGAGATATGAGAGAAATCACATAGGGTGAAATTGCACAGATCCATAGAGAGAAGCCTCTGCCAGCAAGGAGCTTGTCAGGTAGAAGACGCAGAACATGTGTGCCATCGGGCAACCTAGGCTCCAAGACAGGAGGTGGGCACGGGCGAAGGCTGGAGCTGGAGTCAGAAGAGATTACTTGGCCCTGGGCTCTGAGCAGACTTCTGGAAGTAGAATTTCCAGTGTTTTAAGTGGGAAACAAGGAGATTCCTGGAAGAAGAAATAACTCAGGCAATAAAGAAGGATATAGTATAGAGTTAAGCTATTACGAGAGCAGCCTGGGAAGTGGAAGTTACCATGAAATAGAGAAGGCCCATGAAAAAGGATTATCTCACCTGCTTACAATCCTGTCTTAAACCAGTGCTTCCCAAACTTCAATGGGTTTACAAGTTACTTGGGGATCTTATTAAACTGATTCTAATTGGGTAGATCTGGGATGGGCCCTAAAATTCTGCATTTCTGGCAAACCCCCAGGTGGTCTTGGGTTGCACTGTGAGTAGTGAGCTTCTGAAATACTGTTTTTTGAGGTATTGTGAATGGGTCACTCACTACATAACCACCTTCAGTCAAGGTTGTCTCAAGCCCTCCAGCCTATCAGGTAGGAACTCTGCCCCGTATGTCATTTCAGAGGACTGCTCAAACTCAGTCCCAGACAGATGGATTGGATCTCACCCCCACACACATGCACGCTTTCCCATTTCACCTAAATGGCCATCTTTCAAGGTACAACTCAACTGCCATCTCCCCCAGAAGCTTTCTCTGATCTCAATCCCTCCCTATCCCCATCTTCCGATTTACATCCCCTCTGTTCTACAAAGTTTTGTAAATTGGCTATAGATAGCACTCATATAGTCCGACTAGTAATAAAAAATACACATGCGCATACATACCCATAAAATTTTACAATAACCACCTTAAATCATTTTTGCAATATAATAGGATATGTATATATAAATGAAAAGAACAAAAACAGAAGTAGATAAAACTCCCTCACCGGTCCGATTGCTGAAGTCCTCGTTTATGTGTGCATTCCCAGTGCCAGCACAGCGAACCCAGAAAAGCAGGCATATTTAACTGACCCTTTGATTGTGTTGAGCCTTGATTGCACTATCTTGTGCTTTCTCATCAGGCATGTTACACTCATCCATTCATTTGTTTCATCAACATCTATTTGTTGATCGCCAGGAATGTGCCAGGACACAGGATGATTAAGACCACCCCTCTCTGAGCCTTGGCTCCTGTGGCTGTAAAATAGAAATGATAAAAGTAGTTCCTCATAACATTGCTCTTGGTAGAAAATAAGGTCAAGTGCTTAACAGGGCTTGGCACATAATAAGCACTCAATAAATGGTAGCTATTTTCGTCATCAAAAGTTATCAAATTTTTTATTATTATTATTATTATTATTATCATCATCATCATCTGCTCAGTGAACTGAACCTTGAAATAGACCACCTGAGATCTGGAACAATCCTTGAAATGCTGGCCAAGGAACACTGTGGGGACTGCAGAAACTGCTTCCTGTCTCTTTACTTTACTTCTTCTCATCATGGAAATGAGGCCAATTGTTAGGAAGGAATCGTTACTCAGCAAGAATACAGTTTATGCCTTCCCAAACAGGAAGGACCTTGAGATTGAACAGAAAGGCCCAAGTAACTTTTTTTTTTTAAATAGAGAAATGTGGCAGATGCTTCATTTCATGAGACATAACCTGAATCTCTGCTCTCTGCACGAGTCACAGTGGTTGTTTGGGGGGACTCAGAGATGGAGCAAATCCTGTTATGGAAGGTTACAACCTGGTGGTCCCCAAGGTATGCAGATAATTCCTCCTATAATGAGCATATGCAATGACATATCCTACAGTAAGTAATCAGACTTGGGGAAATTAGATAAGGCTCTTGGATACAGTGATAAGCAAGACATACTTCTGACCTTACAGAATGAACAGTCACAGTGGGTTTGGGGAAAGGAGATTTTGCAGTTGATTCTAGAAGCCTGCTCATTTCACTGCTGGTGACCCAGATTCAAAAATAAGCAGATAGTCCAAAGCAATTTTTTTTGCCACTGAGTATAAACTTCTTGCACGAAATACCAATTATAATAACTCTGATTACTGCCGCAGTTGTACCATGGTCCTCTTAATTTTTCTTTCATAGCAATCAATTGATCTGCTGCTTAATTCATATTTATTTAGATTGCAGCCATACAGATGCCTTTTGGGTGCTGCCAGGAAAATTAATATGTATTACATATAGAGCATAATATATGTAAAAGTGCTTTGACAACCATGAAGTGCTCTGTAAAGTATTAGATTACTATCATTATTTCTTTTTAAATCTCACCACAAATAAATAAATTTTAACATCCTCAATCTTAAAAGCATTACCCTGAATAAACAGTGGCACGATCCATTTTTTTTTTAATTTTTTCACTTCTTATCTACATCCATTTCAAATCATGTCTCATTTTACACCTTCACAAATACCACCCCTAATCTCTAGAAGATAATAATGGATACATGGCCTATTTATGCATCCTATTAATTTGCTATGAGAAAAAAAATTGTGAGGGCTATCAGTTACAGTGAGGTATATGAAGATATTAATAAATACTAAAGTTCCTCACCAACAGTTAACCTCAAAATGATACATATATGTGTGTGTAGATGTACGTATGTATGTGTTCATACACACCCTTCGGACGTGTTGTAATCCTTTAAAAAATAAAGAACTTGACAACTTCTTAACTTTTTTTTTTTTTTTAACAAAAGTTTAACACAACCAAAATGTAAGAAGTGCAGACTTGGCCATAGTAAGTTTGGTGTAGAGGATATTTAAATTCACTAACTTCTGCTGTTTTGAAAAATAGTCATTTGAGGTTTAATTCCTAGAATCTGAGACAAATTTCAAAGACAGAGACTCTAATAAGCGGGAATAAGGCAAAGTTACCCAGGCTCAGAACAGTGAGGTCAGTCCTTGAGAACACATACAACGGTCTAGAAGCAAACGACAGAGACAAGCAGGGACGGCCAGGACTTTTGTTCTCCCCTCTGGTGATCCCGGGGTTTGGGTTTGGAATCTATGCACCGGTGAATTCCATGCCATGAACCACGTGGCCAGTAGCTCCAAGGTACTGCCGTACATAGGCAATTCACACGCTCACTCCCCCACTTCAGCCATTGTCATTTATGGTCTACAGGGACCTCAGCAGTCACCAAGTCTAACTCCCTTATTTCAGGGTTGAGGGAGCAGACCCAGAGAAGGAAAATGACTGGCTTAAGGTCACAGAATGGTAGATTGGGTATCCTCTCAGCTCACACCTTTTATTCTTTCATTTTAATCTTCGTGTCTCACCTCTTTGTCATTGTCTGTGCTCAGTATCTAACCAAGACTCTCTTCATTTTCAGGAAATTTGCCCCCCGGTGTTCTGTGTGCAAGGAGCCTATCATGCCAGCCCCAGGCCAGGAGGAGACTGTCCGGATTGTGGCTCTGGATCGCGATTTCCACGTTCACTGCTACCGCTGTGAGGTCTGTTGCCTGCCCCTCTGAACGCTGCATGGCAGGCATGGAAAGGCTTGTTAGAGCCAGGTTTTCATAAACGTAGCAACCGTTAGATCTCGGGCAGCTCCTAGTGCCTGTGTTCACAGGACCTGAGTTTTAGATCTGACATGGGCATTTAATGCTAGTGATACTGGGTATCACTTTAACTCTCTCACTCCAGATTTCCAAAAAGGAGTCATTCTTATCTTTCCCAAATATGGCTGTATGACTAAAATGCAAAATTGCATATTAAAGGACATTGTAAATCATAAAGTGCTAAGTTAGTAAGGAAAGTTATTGTTGTTATTACGGTACTGAATCTTTAACTTTGGCTCTGATATTCCTGCAGGGCAAAGGTACCATTGTGTCCCATTTATAAGGATAAGAATTTATTCCTTTCAGAGGGATTAGAACTTCATGTTCAAAGTGATGGAGATTCATTAACTTAGCAAGCACTGACTGAGGACTTCACACAAGAGGTCAGGTGCCTAAGAACTGCAGGAGAGTTATGCATGAGGTGCCACAGGAATATATATATGTTGTAATCCCGGCTGGAAATGACAAGGAAGGCTTCTTGCCCAAGGGATATGTAGTCATTTATACAGCAAAGGGCAGCAAGTCTTTCCCCTGTAGTCAGGGTCTGAAAAGGGCACGACTTTCAGAAAACGATTTTAAAATGCTTTCTTATCCTGGTTCTGTAAGTTACCCAGACCTCCTCTACCGAAGCAGTCCCCCCCGCCCCTCACCCCCGGCTAGGTCTCCCGAGTGCAACAGTTTTCAGTCCCCTCTCATAACTGAGGCATAATATGTACTTCCTCACTGACACATCTTCATGAAATTGGCTCACCTAGTCCCACTAGGAAGATCTTTCCAAGACCCAGGCTGGCCCCCTGGGACTGCATTCACACCATTCGCTGCCTTAGCCATAACCGGCCACCTCTTTTATGCACTGAGCTCCATTTTTTCCTAGAGCCCAAGTTGCCTGAACCTGAGAAAAGATAATAAAAACAACCGGCTTTGACAGAGGTTTTATAACTAGAAAGGAACAACAATGGCCAGTCATCACCTTTAAAATTGACCAGAATCATAAGTGTGCAGAAGCTCATGGATACTTTAGAGATCGATTTACAGATGGAGATACTGAGGCTCAAAGAAGAAAGGCTTCCAGACATTCTTCACGTACATACCAATAGGCTCTGACTTTTAAATGGTTTTGTTTTCTTGCTAAGAGTTGCATGAAACATACCTTCCCTCCTTCCATATTTAATGAAGCTGTATAAATTCAGTTTGCTTTAAAATGCTGAGACTTTCTTTAGAAACAATACTGTAGAATGAGAGAAACACTGAATTAGAGGAGACGAGACCACTGTTCTAGTTGCTGCATCACACTGAACAAATCACTTCTCTCTCTGCCCCTCACCCCCCCTCTAAAATGAGTTTGTACAGGATGCCCCACATGACTCCTCTTGGCTCTAAGATTCAAGGCATTAATGGTTCCAACACTCTGGCTGACTCTGGGCTCTTCAGAGCACCAAGGAATTGTAGAATTGACCTCATTAAATCCTTAAAACAATGTCATTTATGAATTGTCCCTCTTTCTTTTCTGTTTTGGTTAAAAGACTTAGTTTGGTTTCACTACTCAGTTTCTTGAACACTTCCAGAGCTGCGAAATATCTGCTTGTTCATTTTGGTAAAGCCAGCTTTGCTAAGAAGCCCAACTAGGGCTGCTGTTGCGGTTGCCATTGCATCCCAGGCAACACCCTTTTTGAATTTAAATTTCATTCTTTGTCAAATGCAGACATGAGCCCCAATGACATTTCTGTCATGGTAGACAGCAGAGGCAAGGTATGCAGCAAGCGTGGCCTTTTAAAAGAGTGTCTACTGAAATTAACAAGCACATACACCCCTAGAAGAAGTACTGCAATTTTTCCTAAAGAAATGTCTTGTTTTCCCCCAAAGTAAGGGCCAACATTGAATTATTTAACGCTTTCCAAAATGAACTCTCTGAGGTGCTACCAACAATAACATAATTCTTTACAGTTATGTCCTCTTCACATTTTTTTCAAAGTACGTTCACATCAGTTATCCCCTTTGAGCCTCCCAACAGCGTGGTAAGGCAGGAAATGCAGGAATTATTTTGAGAGTGGCAGCTGGCCTTACCTGCAGTGGCACAGCAGTGTCAGCACTGAGGGGCTGTCTCCCAGTCCAGCACCCATCCCTCTGCACCACGGTGTCTCCTTGGGACACTACAACAAATCATTCCTCCCCACGAACCTTAGGATTTTACTTTTGCTACAACTGGAGTAAGTATGCAGAGCCCATTGGTGGCCCTTCTACTTAGCAAGAGTCACTCTACAGCTTTACCTCTGCACAGAAGTGGCTGAGAGATCTTGTCCCTGCACTCGCAGAGATCCTTAAACTGATGATAAAAGGGTAACGAAGAATTAATGGTTAGGGATCGGTTTTATTTTTCTTTTGTTCTTGCTATTCTTATTTGGGTTAGAGAACAAAACTACCATTTGAGATGCCATAGGTTTGGGGTTTTCTCTTCTTAAACCTGTATTTCCTATCAAGTGATCTTAGGAGGGTTAACTTATGCTTTTTTTACATATATGTCTTTAATATCTAATTCAGTTTTATTCAACGCATACTGTATTGTACACTGGGGATGGATTGGTGGGACCTGGTGGTATATGAAGGAGAAAGCTAAGTGGCCACATTTTGGAAGCCTTGAATGGAAAGCTAAAGAAGTTAATCTTGACATATGTAGTTTACATTTTCATTTACATCATTTCCTTCTGTCTTTATTTTTCTAGGATTGCGGCGGCCTCCTGTCTGAAGGAGATAACCAAGGCTGCTACCCTTTGGACGGGCACATCCTCTGCAAGAGCTGCAACTCTGCCCGCATCAGAGTGTTGACCGCCAAGGCTAGCACTGACCTTTGAGTTCAGTGGCCCGTTCAGCCGGTTAGTTGGTGGCACTGAGAAGAATGAAACACATACACACACACACACACAAAAGAAGAAGAAAAGCAATAGAAAAACAGAAGAAAGGCAATCAAGCTATGGGATGATCTCTATTCTTCATGTAGTAGTAACCTTTCTGTAGAAACACATAGATTATGAGATTTCTTTTTACGTTCTTAACCAAGTACACATTTCACATTTAATTATGTAGGATGTTGATAGGCCTTTGTTCCCAAGGACTTCCACATTTTTGCACGGATTATGCACCATCCCATTCACTTCTGCATTCCTGTAACTTTTAATCCCTGTTTGTCTCACTTTCATCTGGTTGAATGGCTTTTTTTAGCGTGGTATTTGCTGTCACACAGATTTTCCTGAGTAGGTTCAGCCAACCCACAGGTGCTTTTAGGCTTGAAGTCCCTCCATCCTGTCATATCCACGTTGCCTGTGATCATAAAAGATAGCCATTCTTTCTTTGTGTATTAAAAAGTATGTCTTTCTGTGGCTCTAAACTGGTCATGTCCCTTGGAAAAAATGCACAATTTAAATGTTAGGCTATAAAGAATTTAAGCTGTAAATTACAGAGTTTAAAACAAGCCCAAATTTGTAACCACCCTAATTCAAAATCCATATTGATCAGTAGTCAAGGGCTCATTTGAAAACAGATATTAGTGAGAGAGATCCCAACTTTCAAACTTTTTTTGAAACAAAATGTAAGTGCGATATGCTGACAATGCATTTGGGGATATGTTTGAAAAGGCCGCTATTATCCCACAATATTATCTTAAGATTTCCCTTTTCCATGTTACCTGGACACAGTTGATTGTCTCTAGAACATAAAATGTTTCTATATTGCCCAACTTTTCATATCAGAAATGTTGATATATTTTCTAATATTCAAACATGACTACCAAAACTGACTTTTTCTTTAGCGAAAGATAGCTTTAAAGAACAGTTCAATCCCTTTGCCCTGTGGCCCAGGTCCTTTTGCCTAATAATTGCAAATCAGAGCACATAAAATGTATAGTTTTGTTTAGTTTAATTTAAAAAAACAGAAAAACTTGAAAAGATTGTGAAGCCACAATTTTATTATTCTCTTAATCTATCTGCAACTTAAAATACACATTACAAGAGACATTGTCATATCGATACAACATTGTCGTATCATCGATGTGACATTTACACCACACTTTCAAGGACAATCATGGGGGGGGAAATCACTTTTATGAGTTAAAAATATGCAGAGTTTCTGCTTGGAATCTTTATTCAAACTCTGTTGAGCAGTGAAATAAGTGTTTTTCAACTGCAGAACCATAATTCGTTAGGTTCTAATGTCTTTCTTTTGAAGAGAGACATTTACCTTAATAATGGCAAGTTGCCATTTTTTTTAACTAAATAAGTATTTTGGATTGAGATTTCTTAAACCTTTTTTCAAATCTTCCACACACATATGCTTTTAAATTATGAAATATTTTAAATATACATAAAAGTATAAATAATAATATAATGAATTCCTATATATGTAACACCCAGTTTAAGAAATCAAATATAACAAATAGAATGACATTCCCCTCTGTACCCTTCCTTTGTTCCACAAATATATTTTTCATCATTGTAAAGTGATAGAGTCAGTTTTTTAGGCTGATTTTTTTATTAATTTTTATTTTTTAACACCTAGAACAGAAATAAAAAAATATTTGGGCATGTTTTGAATTGCAACCCTTGCCTCAGCAATTCCAATTAAATTTACTTTACTATAGAAAAAGTAATCATAAAAATGGCTCTATTTTTTCAATAAGAAATTCTTAAATCTGTGGTTACTAGAGCTCATCTAAGTTAATTTGTTGCTCATTTGCTTTGGTCACCAAACAGTTTTGTTTTAGAACCAGCAAACTTGTAGCTTTTTAAAGGTTGTTTTTTTGGTTTGGGGGGGCGGGGGGCGGTTTATGACCAGTGTCCTCTTCTAACCTTATTACTCTTATCTTTGATCTTAAGTTTCTCTTAATGTGAAACACAATGGGATTCACTTTGAGCAGCATGTGGATTACAGGATACAATGGCAATTGTACCTCTGAATTTCTGTATTCCAAATTAAAGGCCAGACCATGCTGATGACCTCAGAAAGCACTGACTGTGAGACAATTGGGGGGATAATATAATCTGTTTGAATTGCTTCAGTGACCTTGTTTTGTATAAAATGCTTGGGAGAAACTGTTTTTAGACCAAAAGCAAAGAGCCCAATTTATTGAGAGGTGGATTTTATCACTTGAATAGCAGTCATATTATTATAAATTTTGCCAAAAAAAAGGAAGAATTTATGAAATATTTATACTATTAAATGCAATAACATTCTACGTGTTTGTTACATTTAAGTCCTTATGTAACTGAATGTTTACAAGCCAAAAAAAAGCAAGTTATAAGGAAATATTGTCACAGACCCATCACTGTGGCATTGGCAGAATACTACTTGCTTACAGTCTTTATAGTGCATTTTTATCACATAACCTCAGAGTATCTTTACCAAAGATTTTTAAAGTAAATCTTTTTAAATATAGACTTACTATACTTTTATATAATAATGAATGTGCACACATACATATGCAGAAATATTTAGATTTAGATATTTTTTTCTTTCACAAGGTATAATAAGGAAAGGATCCTACAATATTTTATTCCAGCATTTCTTAGATATATGATTTATATTGCTTTCTTGTCTTTTCTATTAATCATTTGGTTTAGACAATGCCAAATCACTCTTTGCTGTTTTAGTTAAATGAAATGTTGCCTGTAACAGAGATTTAAAGATCAGATTACCTTAATGATTTATAATTCTATTATCTTTTGATATATTGCCTTAATTGATGACAGTTAAATTCATAAATAATGGAAAAATCATAGAGTCTATAAGAGAAAGTTGGTCAAAATATACTGGTTTTAAAAAATTGTCAAGAACACAAATACTTGGTAATTCTGTATAATGTGAAAGACCTGGAAAAAGGAAAATAACCCACTCTGCCATGGGCTCTGCAGATTATTTTGAAATCAGAGTTCTTCATGGCCTGGATCCCCAGCTCATGCTGACTCAACGTGGAGTCTTATGTGCAAACAAAATTGCCTTTCAAATTTAAAAATAAGTCACGTGTTCCAGCATAAGGCATAAAGGCTTTGAGATGCTGGAAATCTCTGCAGCTCAAAGATATGGGTTCTTTTTCTTGTCGTTGACAAATTGTTTCTGTAGGAGCAACTTCCCTGATCAAAATTACCTCATTGGATATATGCTGACTGATGTAGTGGAGTTACCAACACTGTAATTGTTTTCTCACTATGAAAGATCCTTTAGAGATGCTTGCAGTGATGTTTAAAGTCTATAAAACTCTACATTTAAACAAGAATTTTTATCTGGGTTCAGAGGAAGAAAGAGAGCACTTCTACCATGGGGCTATAGTAGACAGTTTTATGGAATACAGAAACACATCTTCCAACAGTTTTCCTAGTTAGTAAAAATCCTATTAATGTGAACCAGCCAGGAATAACAGTGTTATTTCTTTTGATATGGTTTGGGCGTCTCTTGTCAAATCTGTGTCAGCTGCCCCCTGATGCCTCCATTATCAAGGTCTGAAGGGTGTTGGGGAAATTGCGGCAGCTGCTAGGGAGATCAGGGAAGCACTGATGTAACCTCACAGCCTGTCACCATCCCTCTTGGCTTGGAAAGGCTTTCTCCATATACATTTCTAGAAATATTGCCATACTACCTTAGTATCTCATATTTGTAGTTTAAACAAGCGATTGTCCATCTGTTGCCTAGAGCTACAGTACATGTGTGTTATGAAATATGACAGCATGTTCCATACCCTGCTTTAGCCATCTGTAGAAAACCAGTAGACTGAAAAAGATATACCTCTGCGAAATGTTCCTCGAGTCCCTTTCCTGAGATTGCTCTTTTGGTGCACTTTCGTGGGAGACAATCAGAGAGCAATATATATGTGTGCCTTATTTTCAAAGAATCTTTACACTACTATGAATACTCCGCTGAAGCACCTGTAGTATAAACAATAATCTCCAAGCTCAAAGATATACTCATCAGAAAAGTCCAGCAAAATCCAGAGAGATACGAACTCTTCATCTTGAACTACTCTAATAGTATTTCTGTTCTCTATTATGTCTCAGAAGTACCTTACAGATTCTTAATTGAGAATTGAGGTGATGTATGGGATGTTGTTAGTGATTATGTTTGGTCTTACTCTGGTTTTAGTCAGATAATGAAGATAAGACCACCTTGAACCTGTAACAGCCATTCAGCATATCTACTTTTTAAAACTGCTATAGTTTTTTGGTTTGTGTGTTTATTTTTTAATTTAATAGTGAATAGAACAAGTTTAGAATCCTAGTTCTGAGTCATTATAGGACAACCATGAACACTTTAGGTCAAGTTATCCACTTGACAGCTAACTACACTGAATTTTTTTCTCATGAGGCTGTTGTTTGGTTAGCATATAGCTTCAAACCTTTAAAAGATTATCTGATTAAAGCTATGCAGCTTGGTGAGAATTCTTAATCCCTCTCTCCTTTTTCTCCCTCCTTTCTTTCTTATGTTTTTTCCTCCCTCGTTTCCTTCATACCCATTAATACTATCCTGCTTTGGCTTTTTATATATAAATCAATGCATTATTGTCCTTACGGTAATATGATCATAATAAGGGAAGAAGGCTACCACAAAATACATGTGGCATCCATAAACCCTTCCTTTCAAAGGGTATATTTCCCAGATTGTGTTTATTTCTAAAATGAGAAGAGATAATAGAGTATTTGGGTTTTATTTTAATGAATGTTCATCAGGGATTCAGATCGTAGGGTTCTCGGTAAATTCATTTAGGATTGCCCTTTTTCTCAGCTAAATGCAAAGTGATCTTTCTAAGACTCAGTAAAGATTTTAATACAAAGCATTGTTTGACCAACAAAACAATGATGTTTTTAGTGGTGGCATGTTATTTTACTCCACTGAAACTCAGTAATTGTTCTTATGGCAAGGAAAAGCTATTGTCTGTCCGGAATTTTTACACATATCAGCATTTTGCCCATGACAATGTTATTAAATCTTAACAGTGTATAAAAAGCAACCTAAGAACAACAAGCCGGGGTCTCTCATTGAAGTATTTTGTTAAAATTTGGGTCATTCTTTTGAACTCTGGCGAATACCGATAAAAGTATGCATATGTTCTCTGTATCCTTTTCTTTGTTTGGAGAAAGCTTATAATTTTAGGACTATATTTCCATTTTTGGTTGCTATCCTCACTTTCATTTTCTACACATTATCACAAGGTTGACACTGATTTTCCTTTTGGAGAGAAATCACATAGGGGGAAAGTAAAACAATAATAATACATAATACTTAATTCAATACATAAATGAAATTGCCAAGAATTAATGAAAAGTCCCAGTGAGTATGTTGTTGTAATATATGGGTAGAATCTTTCTGTTTGTTTGTTTGTTTGTTTATTTGTTTGTTAACCTATTTCCAAGAAGAGTGGGATTCAGGAGGAATTTTAGAGGAGAGACAGTCTACAGTTAGAACTATGGCTACACAGTTCTTGTATAACATGACTGAGAATTTTCTAAGGGTCTTAGGGATCAGCAATCACAGTTGTTTAAGAAGGATATATATTTTTTTTTCCAAGTTAATGAGATATTTAAAAATCACTATGGCTAACAACACATTTTTCCTCTGTCAGAGGAGAGTAAAATGAGTGCTGCTGCTGGGTTCCACACCTGGCCATGATGTATGACCTCTTATCCCCTCGGAGAGGGTGGCGTAGCGTGCCTCTTTCTGAGAGATGATGCATATTCTGACACATTTTTAGACAAACTGCACTACACCCTAAGCATCTCTGCAGGTTAGAGGTTTCCCTATTCACACCGAGTTTTATTCCTTTACAATGTACTTAGCCGGTGAGCACAAGTAGCAGTTATTTTGACCTGCGGTTCTTCTGTTAAAATCTCACCATCTACTCTCTGTAATGTCTTGCCTAACAACTATACTATGAGTGATTTGTACTTCTTTTCTCTTTTTAGTTGCAAACACAATAAACTAAATATAAAATGACATATTTTCCCTTCAGTGTTGAAAGGATGGACACTTACTCCTTTCTCTATTTATTTTCCTGGCTCTTGTTCCAAAAGGTTGTGACTTTATTTTAGTTATCCAATATTCAAGTAGCTTCTTTTGAG